CCCCGGTCCATCCCTCCCGGGGGGCTTGCTCCCCGCCTGGTCCCCCGGGCTACCGGGGAAAGGAGATGGGGTCTTACACCGAGACGAGACCTCCCCCCGTGCACAGCGGCGGGGATATTTTACCGCCGGGGTTTCACGCAGCCCCTGCGAAACGCCGGGCTCTAAATTCCGAGGTAATGAGGATTAGATGAGCTTCTGGAATTAGCCGTGCCTCCAGGTTAATTAAGCCGGCAGAGCTCTGATTTATGGTAACTAGTCGAAGGGAATAAAGCCGTTTCCCCAGTTCAGCCACCAGCCGCCAAACCCTGTGACGCTGGATGGGGGGGACCCAGCTCCGGCCACCGCAGCCTCTGCTGACCCCTCCACTGCACCCCATCAGCCATGAGGTGTCCTGCCCCTGCGAGGGTCCGGCTGCGATGGCCCGGGCCAGCTGCGGTGGCCGCAGGGTGCCAGCAAGCAGGGACTACAGGTCCCAGTATGTACGGACAGGTCTGACTGGGAGCACCCGGCCACGCTGCGGGTGGGACACAGTGGGGTCTGGGCCGTGTGTCTGGGCAGTATCGCTCGCTCGCTGTCTGTCTGTCTGGCCTGGGTATTTATTTGCCTGCCAGGGAGTTTGGCATGGCTTGCGGGCTGCCAGGAGCATCAATGGAGTCCTCTCACTTACGCCAAGCCCGGTCCTTATGGTTTGGTTTATGGACTGGCGCTTTCTCTCTGCTTTGCACCAGTGGTGTCAACAGAGCCACACTGGATGAAGTGGGGAGTGAATCAGCATGAGGGGCTTGGCCTTGTCAGCCTCTGCCGCCTTCCCCTTCCCGTCCGCCCACAGCGGTGCTGGGGACCCTCTGACCATGCACAGACCGCAGTCGTGCTTGTGGATCACAGTGAGAGACGCCCCAGCTGAGGGGTCTCCTCATGTACGGGAGATCCTGCAGAGCTCCCAGCATCTCCCGATGAACCGAAGCTCCTTCCCGGAGAAGCGATAGGCACCCATCGCCCAAGAGAGACCCAAAAAACCTCCACCAGAGCCGGGAGACCGCTCTGTCCTGCCAAATCCTAGCCCTGTGCCATTCCACCACTCTCTTTCCTCAGCCCAAGATGATGATAATTCCCAGTGCCGTCTCTGTGTTGTGGTGCCGGGGCTGTGCCCGCGCCGCACTCCATCGCAGTGCCGGGGCGCTCGGCTGCAGTCGACTGCTTCCCGGGAAGCGCCTGTGGTGCCTCTCTTTCATCTCCTGCCTGGAAGCAGATTAAAATTTCATCACTTCAGTGGTGGAGAAGGTGCAGGGGAGGAGCGGGAGCCCTGGGCTGGCAGGGGGGGGCTCAGCCCCTCGCCGGAGCAGCCTGTGCTGAGCTCGGTGCCCACTCCAAATCCAGCTGCACGTGGCTGGGCTGGGTGAGCTCAGCTGATGGAGCTGGAATTTAGGCACAGCCATGCAGGGGTGGCTGCGGGCCGGGTTCCTGCTTCCCCTGGGCTTTCCCTCGCCGGAGCACGAGGCTGGGCAGGAGAGCCTGCCAAGCTCTGGGCTCCTGCCGGTTCTTCTCCATGGGCTGCGCACCCGGAGCAGGATCAGGAGCCCCCCAACTCCGAGGCAGATGCAGCCAAACTGGCTCCAGCTGCCAGCAGAAACACAAAGCTGAGATCGCAGCAGGATGTGACTCCACGCTGCCGGCAGCAGTGTTTCCTCGCCTCCATACAGGGAGCCCCAAATCTCCCGGCAGCCACGAGATGGAGGGATTGTCACAGAAAACCAGTTACTCCCTGCAGCCGGGCTGCTCGGCTGGCCCCAGGAAGGTGCTGCCTGGGCTGGACCCCATCCTGGGCTGACAGTGAGCCGAGGTTGGGCCCCGGAACGTGGGAAGACTGATGTCTTGCCCTGGTTGCTCCTGGCAGATGCAAGAGGACTGCTGCCTGTCACCCCGCTACCTCCCAGGCTCCCACAAGAGGGTTTTTGATGTGTTCTGGTATTTTTCCAGAGGCTGAACACGCTTAACACCATAATTCCCTGTTTTTTCCTATCCCCCTTTCCAAATAAAGGGGAAACATTTGCTCTTTTCCAGCCCTGTGACGTCTGCCATCCTCAGCAGGTTCCCTGGGACATCACCACTGCACTGAAGTCCCCTCCGGGGGGCTCAGGTCCCAGCTGCCCCTGGGGTGCACAGGGTGGCCCGTGCTGTGCTTGTCCTTTCCCTGTCCCCTCTACTTTCTCACCACCGGGCAAGGGGTTTTGAGGTGTCCTGGCCCCCCCCTCCCAGTCCCCTCTGGGCTCCCATTGCCTCCCTGTGCGGTGCAGACCCTCCTCCACCTCCCCAGCCCGTACCAGCACATCACTATTCAAGTCACGCAATGCCTATCACGTGTCCCACGTGTGCCAATTAAGTCACAACTCTAATTACGCACTTAGACTTCGCCAGTCGTTCCTCTTCCCTCTTGCATCACTAGACGGACACCTGGGACGCCGCCAGCCATCCCCCTCCTCGCACCCAGTCCCTGTCCTGTCCCACCTCACCTTAACTATGCTGGGTCGGGCTCTGGCAGGAGCCGAGCATTGAGACCACGTCCCCATGACACGGAAAACTGTCCCTAAATCAGCGCTGTGGGGTAGGACCATTGCTGGGGGCCCTTTTTGGTCCGGGCTGCCTCCCTTGTAGCCCATGAGGGAAATGGATGTGGTGTGCGGAGATGCTCTGGGTGTCCCCCAAGAGGGACTGTCCCAGCCCTGGAGTCCCCAGGGGATGACAGTGGGACAGAACGATGTTGGCAGATCCGGGGGACCCCGTGCTGCTGCTCCCCAGGAGACCCTGGCCCCCAGAGCCGCGGTCGTGCCCCAAGAGCAGCTTGGTCACCCCCAACCATCACCTGCACCTCCCTGTGGCACCCCAAGGCCTTGAGGTGAAGGTGCCCTGCACCCCATTGCAGAGTTCAACACTGCATGGCCACTCATGGAACCGCTCTGGGGGTCTCTGCCCCCCCCCGGCCCCCAGAAGTTCCTGCCTGGCTGCGGATACCCACGGGGGGATGCTGGGTGTCGGGGGGGATGCTGTGTTGGAGGGGACACTGCAGGGATCACGCATGAAAGGGAGCAGGGCTGCAGGGAGGGCTGGGGGAGAGCTACACAGGGTGCTGCATGGGGAGCCGGGTGCAGGGGGCTGCGGGAGGGGTGCCAGGGTGCAGTGCTGGGCAGAGCTGGGTGCTGCAGGGTGCAGTGGGTGGTGTCGGGGTGCTGGGTACCAGGCTGGCAGGGTGCTGCGGGGTGCAGGGAGTGGTGTCAGGGTGCTGTCGGGGTGCAGGGTGCCAGGCTGGCAGGGTGCAGGGGGTGCAGTGGGTTCTGTCAGA